AAAGCATAATCCAGAACAAGGTCCTAACTCTCTTCAATTCTTTGAAAGGTGAGAGAGGTGAGGAAGCTTCAGAAGAAAAATTTGAAGCTAGCAGAGGTTGGTTACCGAGGCTTAAGAAAATAAGTTGTCCCCATGACATGGAAGTGCAAGGTGAAGCACCAAGTGCTGATGGAGGCAGTTATCCAGATCTAGCTAAGATCACCAATGAAGGTGGCTACACTAGTAGCTTTCTATGAGAAGAGGACATCTAGGAATTTCATAGCTACAAAAGAAGAGAAGTAAATGCCTGGCTTTAAAGCTTTGAAGGACAGGCTGACACTCTGGTTAGAAGTTAATGCAGCTGATTACTTAAGTTGAAGTCAATGCTCATTTACCATTCTCAAAATCCCAGGCCCTTTAATAATTATCCTCAACCTACTCTGCCTGTGCTCTACAAATGGAACAATAGCCTTTGAAGACAGCACATCTGTTTACATCATGGTTTACTGAAAATTTGAAACCCACTCTTGAGACCTACTGCTAGGAAAAAAAATGATTTCTTTCAAAATATTACTGCTCATTGATATGCTCCTGGTCACCCAATAGCTCTGATGGAGATGTAGGAGATTAATGTTTTTATGCTTACTAACAAACATCCATTCTGCAACTCATGGATAAAGGAGTAACTTTGATTTTCAAATTTTATTATTTAAGAAATACATTTTATAAGGCTATAGCTTCCATAGATAGTGATTCCGCTGATGAATCTGGGCAAAGTACATTGAAAAACTTCTGGAAAGGATTCACTATTCCAGATGCCTTAACATTCTCATTCATGGGAGGAGGCCAAAATATTAACAGTAACAGGCATTTGGAAGAAGTTGATTCCAACCATCATGGATGACTTTGAGGAGTTCAAGATGTCAGTGGAGAAAATAACTGCAGATGTGGTGGAAATGACAAGAGAATTAACAATTAGAGGTGGAGCCTGAAGATGTGACTGAATTGCTGCAAGCTCATGATACCACTTGAACAGATGAGGAGCTACCTCTTAAAAGTGGGCAAAGAAAGTGTTGTTTTTTGTTGTTGTTGTATTTTTTTGGGGGAGGGGGTGGAATCTATTCCTGATGAAGATGCTGTGAATATTGTTGAAATGACAGCAAAGATTTTAGAATATCTTATAAGCTTAGTTGATAAATCAGGGGCAAGTTTCGAGAAGATTGATTTCAACTAAGAAAGAAGTTCCGTGGGTAAAATGCTATCAAACATCAATGCATGCTACAGAGTTTTGTTTTGTTTTGTTTTGTTTTTGTAAAAGGAAGAGTCATTTTGATGCAGCAAACTTCATTGTTGTCTTATTTTAATAAATTTCCACAGCCACCCCAACCTTCAGCAACCACCACCCTGATCAGTCAGCAGCCATTGATATCAAAGTAAGACTATCAGTGAAAAAGATGATGACTGTCTGAAGACTCAGATGATTATTAGCATTTTTGAAGATTTTTTTTTGGTATCTTAAATTAAATTATGTCTATGTTTTAAGACAGGGGTGTCCAATCTTTTGGTTTTCCTGGGCCACACTGGAAGAAAAAGAATTGTCTTGGGCCACACATAAAATACCCCCTAACGATAGCCAGTGAGCTGAAAAATATTGCGAAATAATCTCATAATATTTAAAGAAAGTTTATGAATTTGTGTTGGGCTGCATTCACAGCCATCCTGGGCCACATGTGGCCTATGGGCCGTGGGTTGGACCAGCTTATTTCATGACATAATGCCATTACACATTAATAGACTATAATATAGTGTAAGCTTAGCTTTTATGTGGCTTTTGCATGTACTGGGAAACCAAGAGAATTATATGACTCACTTTACTGTGATATTCCCTTTATAGTGGTGGTCTGAAAATGAACCCACAATATCTTCAAGGTATGCTTGATTGGTTTCTGTTTGTCTGTTTGCATATGTTTTTCCTTATCTGAGCAGAAAGAATTTTAATTATTCTCTTTTCCATAGTTTTCTTATACAGTGGAATGGGAATCATCTACATCTGGACTGGCAAGGACAGCTTCTCCAGGCATATCAGCCATAACTTCTCTAGAAGTTAGGAGAGGAAACATTTCCTTTATCTGTAGCTTTTCAGTGTCATTCAAAGCACCATAGTTTTTCTACTTCTCATATTGGAGGCTGAGTTCCATGTGTTTCAGGAACCCTTTAGGGGCTGCAGTGTGAGAAAATATTATTCACACTAAAAACATCTGTAAGGCAAACAACCACTGATTAACCTGAGCAATTTGTTGCGTTAGATGTGGATGTTTGCTTTGCGGATTTGTACACTGGGAAGAAATTTGTGCATGAAAATCAGTTTTCTGTGATGTTTCATGGAAAAAAAAAATTCCCTGACCATGAGAAATGGATGCTGTGTTATATGTACACTCCTTTAGGCTTTAGAGCAGTGTAGGATTTCATAAATTCTGTGAAATCTTTTTTTCTTTGCTCTCTCTTTATTCATAGGAAATATCTGAACAATAGGGTTGAAATTGTACAGCAAATACTCCTTATAACCTATTGGGACCTCATCTGATAGCATTTCTTTTAGTGGGGAGGGGTGTTAAAACCAATGGTATTTAATAATGGGAGACATCACCTTGGCAAAAGCATTTTAATTTTGTGGGCAGACCAACACCTGTCCTTCATTTTATTCCGTCTGGATTCAAAGAAAAAAAAAATGAAGCAAAGCAAGATAGGGAACTTCCCCTACATATATTCCAATCTCTAAAAACTTCTGTTTTTTTTTTTCTAACTTACATAACAAGAATTCTAAAGACCTGTTTAAACCTCCCCAAACAAGTTATGATTTGATCTCATTTCGGGGACCATTAGATGAGCAACAAGATTTTTATTAGTATAGTGACAATATTCATCTTTCTCCTTTCATCTTCAGTATGGGCATGTCTTCCTACCCAATGGCGTGTTTCAAGACAAGATTTTTAAAAAATTTTATCTCCTGCTTGTATTAAATAAAACATAATTTAAAAGTATATTTTTAGATGTTATAAAATGTATCCATAATGTGATTCCAGTTGGGTTTGAAAAGAAAGCCACATAAATAAAAACCGAGCTGATGAGCACTTTGAGCTGTTATAGATGTCATAGTTGCCCCTGGCTGAGTGAAGTGGCTTTGAATGGGCTAGCACCCATTTAAGTTCTTGGTATATGGAGCATGAATCTTTGAGACTCATGTTTGTTTACACATGAAAAAACAAAATACTGTTTCAGAGGGAAAAAATCACAACCATCAAAAAGCTCTTGGACATCAAATAGATCTTAAAAATCAACAATTTGATGAGTTAACTCAAAATGAATCAGAAACATATGGATTAAATTTCTCTTAACAAACACATGGGTTTAAAAGGAAAAGAGAACTTAGAAAATGTGTTTTGAGTTTCCTCAAACCCAAAATGTTTGAAAAATAATATAATTTGAAGCAATCCGCGGACTCAAAATGTGCTTGACTTCTCCCAATCTTGAGTACACCCACTTACTGAGTCTACAGTGATAACATATTTTTCAAATGAATGACAAATACTAAGGGAGACTGAGACTCCTGGGTCTGCCAGCACATCTGAACAATAGGGTTGAAATTGTACAGCAAGTACTCCTTATAATTACTAGGAATTATTTCGCAAGGTCTATAGAATATAACTCATAGTGTTTTCTTTTGAACACATTTTATTTTCAAACTGGAATTAGCATAAACGTAGGAATTAAATTTTTCTAATGGTTTTACATGCTTCTCACACTTCTGTGGACTGATAACAAACTTTTTTTTTTAATTGTACTGTAGCTTCTGGGGTACATGTGCAGATCATGCAGGGTTGTTGCATAGGTATGTACATGGCAAGGTGGTTTGCTGCCTCCATCCCATCAACCAACTTTTAAAAGGTTCCTGTGCTTTCGTTGTTTGCATAAGTACTGAAGGTGATACACCTACTTTTAAATATGAGGAAATGCCATACATCACATTAAACATGAAGTTCTTGGCTTATAGCCACCTTTTTATGCTATTTTGAAAAATATTTTGTTTCTGAATTAGTACTAAAATAACAAAATTGAAATTACGTTTTGTGCTTGCTCAGAGGTGATATCTGGATTCTTATCTGTATGGAACTAAGATAGAGACTGATTTTTTTTTGTCGTCTTACAACACTCCTGCACTCACTGACCCACTGAATGCTTCACTCTGTTTACCTTTGTAATAATCATAACTACTATCGCTAGCTTTATAAGAGTCAAAGGGGAATTTTGTATTCAGATTATGTGTCTTGTTAAAAGAACCATGGGACCATCTTTACTTAAAACAAAAACAAATACAGTCATGCTTCTTTTAAAAAACTTCCATTAGTGGTGGCAAAATCTATGTACTAGAATGCACTGTGAAGACACAAGGGAGACCTCAAGGTGATGTGGCCTGGGGTGTAGTGGAGAAGAACATGGATCAAGATCCCTTCATTCAAATCTTGGTTCCATCACTTACTAGTCTGTGACCTGCAGTGATATCCTTAATTTTTCAAGCTTTTTAAAATTATTAGTATTATTCATTTACAAAATGAGGATAATAGTATTTATCTCATTGGGATTGTTGTATCAAATGAGATAATACATGAAGATTCTTGGAATAGAATAGTAAATAGCTATTTACTATAAAATTAGGAGATTAGCTCTTAATATTATCAGTAATGAAAATAACCTGGGTTATAGGAATGCGCTAACACATAAGAAAAGAAGGTTTAAGTTCTAAATTACTAAACAAAAATAAATATTTTACTAGAATTAACTGAAACCGTGGTCCCATGCTTAGAAGACAGGAAAATGAAAATAAGAAAGAACAAATAACAGAGATTTCTGGTGCTATTGAACCAGTTTATGCATTCCTTCTAGACCACTTAATACAAGACATTTATCTGTAGAAAGGGTAATAGAATTCTGGTGTAAATTTTAATAATTGCAGCAGTGATTACCTTTAGATCCTGTGAGTTCATTATTGGCTGAACAATTCCGAAGACTCTCGTTAAATGGTCCATGGAATGAATCAGGCATGGAATTAACCTATCTTTAGTTCTCTAAAGCTTATGTCCCATGAAGGAGGACTCATATTTCTTTGTGCCTATACCTTCTATACCCTCGATTCTTAAAAAATATGTATATTTAAAGAGGTTAATCCCAGAATGCTAGGTGAATTGACCCTTAAGTAATTAAAAATGAAAAAAATTCCAGTGGCAGAAATTATTTTAAATGACTACCATCTTTCACTTGCAGCTACTTTAACTTCAAGTTGTTACTGGCTATGCCCTATGGTTTGGGTGCCAATTGCTAGGCAGCTGCCCTGTCCCAGCTTGGGAATTCTCTGCAGAGGATTCTTCAGGAAAAGAGACATTTTGTGCAATGGAAGAATAAATAAGTACTAGGTTAATAACCACTCAATATATTTTTACCAAAGCTCTGGTGAAATTCAAATAGTGTTTTTATTGCTTAAAATGTTGCTTTCAAAATGGAGAACTAAATTGGATTTGCTGAATTTGTGAGAATATTCCTTTGCTGTATCAATTTTTTCACCATGGAAAAAGTGGGCATTACTACTTTGAAAGTGTTGTCTTGGAAACTTCTTTGTATAAATTTCTCTTTCAGAGACTTGCCATTTATGTATTTTGGAATATCCTTTATATTAATCCTTCATTGGAGTCTTTGAAAGAGCATAGATTCATTGACTCTGAGGGTTTACAGGCCAGCCCCTTGTCCCCTGTGTTAATCTTTCACCAAACCAAATGATTTTATAATCTGGACTCCCAACATCAAAACTTGCTATATCCCAAGGCAGCCTAGTTAATCTTCAGATAGCTTTACTTGTTAGAAAGTGCTTCTTTATGTTCAGGTGAAATTGATTCCTTTATAACACTCACCACTAGCCTAATTATTTTAATCAGTACCATACAGTTCATATCTAATCCCCTTTCCACATTTCCAGTACCTGTTCTCAACCTAGTCTGATTCACTTACTGAGCCTTATTGTGTGCTGATAGTCATTGATCATTTCAGCTCTCATTCCATCTGGTTTGCTCTTGGGACGCCCAGTTCAGCTCTATCCTTCCTAAAGGACAATGATATTCCAGAAGTAGTGTGACTACTGCATTATATAGGACTGCATTATATTGTCAGCTTTGCTCTAGCTTCTACGTGGACCAGTGAAACATAAGATTATATTAGCCTTTATTGCTAGTCTTTATAGAATTGACTCATAAAACCAACTAAAATTTCTGTTTATTTCTCTCACGATAGTCACATTTCATCTCTTGCATATAACTACGGTTGTTTATTTGGTAATCTATTGACTCCTAACTTTTTGTTTTAACTGTGGTCTCAAAATACAGAAGTACTTAGTAGCTAGAGGTAAAAAAATGATTTGTATCACGTATGTTTATCTCACATAGACTGACATAGTTAAGAGAGAAAGTTTTACATGTAGCCAGGGGGCTTCTTTTAGTTATCTCTACTACTAGCTAGATTACAGAGTCCTTCCTCTGTTCATGTTAATCTCATTCCAGCACAAAGGAGAGAAGCAAAGGAGAGACCTGCTGCCACTAACCTCCGTCTCACACATGCTAAGCTTTCATTCCTCTCACAGACACAAGAATGAAAATGTGCAAAGGCCAGTGGATTCACTGATTCCAGAACTTTATTGGGAAACACTGTCTTATGCTATTTACCTCATTTGTCTTTTTCCAGTCCTATTCTCCCATTTTTCTATAGAATTTTCCCCCAAAGAAAGAAATATAGGTCAGGTGCAGTGGCTCATGCCTATAATCCCAACGCTTTGGGAGGCTGGGGCAGGAAAATCACTTGATGCCAGGAGTTTAAAACCAGCCTGGGTGACATGGTGAAACCCCTTCTCTACAGAGAAAATTAGCTGGGCATGGTGGTGCATGCCTGTAGTCCCAGTTACTCAGGAGGCTGGGTTGGGAGGATTACTTAAACCCAGGAAGCAAAAGTTTCAGTGAGCCAGGATCATGGCACTGCACTGCAGCCTGAGCAACACAGGCAACGATCTTAAAAAAAAAAAAAGGAATGAAATGAAATGTAAAATTATGCACTGATGGATATTAAGTTATTGTATTAGATTTAGGCCGTTGTCTTATTTGTCAGATCTTTTGGGATCTTCCTTCTGTCATTTAGTGTATTCACTATACTTCCCAAATTTTTGTCTTTCACTTGTTCGGTCTATCTATTCAGTTAGCATTGATGGCTGTACATATTTAACATTGCAAGACACTGAAGAATTGGTTTATATTTCAAGTGCCAAGTCTGCCACCTGTTTGATGGCTTCAGAAAGAATAACATGTTATTTTTTTTTAAAGATAATGAGTGCAACTCATCCAAGTCATAGTCTTGAAACTACAAACTTCAGGAGATGTCAACATGTGACTTTATCAGTATTTCTTGTTAGTTATTTAAGGACTTTTATGTTAAGTTAAATTGATGTAAAACAAACACACTTACAATATCGTGGATAACCTACCAGCAGTGAACAACACTATCTCTTTCCTTCATGTGGAAGACGTGGCGAGACGTCCTTTATCATATTTGTCATGGTTGTTTTCTCATAAGCTTGAAGTAGGTAAAAATGCTACAATAAATTAGCTCACAGTTTGAAGGACCTCATGCATGATCTCATGTTAGATTGATTATATGGAGGATAAGTAAGGACCACAATATCAACATAATTTATCTCCTTTGAGAAACAGGATCAAATAAACAGTAATGGAATTTAAGAAACTTAAAAGCTTCAGAGAATTAATTAAGATTCCCCAATATATGATGGGAGAGCTATTGAACCCAAAAAGACTCACACACCCCCTAATTGCTAATCTTCTCAAGGAATTGATTTATTGGATTCTTTCTACCAGCTGTTTAGAGGTTACGGAAAACACACCAGGCTTTGCTGATGACCCAAGTGCCTTAATTCCTATGCATGCATATTTTAACATTATTACAGAAAGGTTTCATTTGCAATTTACAGGCTGAGTAGCAATGAGTCCGTTTCAAAGAGGTCAGTGCTTTCACCATGCCTCCTAGTGATGGAATTATAGTTTAAACAGCTGGAGCACTGTCCCAGGAGGGACACTGGGGTATGGCTCCTTAACGGCAGAATAAATCCATCAGACATATTTCATGTGTCTGATAACATTAATAGATACCAGGGCTGTTTAAATATTTAATGAACTCACTCAGAGACTGTTTACCAAGGGGAGAAAAAGAGCTATCAGAAAGGATGATCACATCCTTTTGATCTAAAATGACAACAACAAAACCGAAATCTCAGCCAATGATTTCTCTTCCTTGCTGCAAACTCCATCAGGGGAACCCGTTTGCTACATGACATGTTTCATTTCCACAGTGTGCAAGAGAGTGTTTTCAGTTTTGCAGTTCAAAAGTTAATCATTTCCATGCGGCTCACTACTTAACAGAGATGCCAGAAATCATAGAATAGCTTTCAGTTGGGATGGAGAAAAGAGCAGAGGAAAGACAGAGACACTAGAGCAAGCAAATGGTGTGCAGTGCACACAGAGCCACAGAAGCTCTGGGTGTGTTAGTGAGGAGGGCATCTGCCAGGAAAGAGGGAGTAAGCAGAATGTCAGTTGTGGCTGCTGGCTGTCTTTGCTGATGGTCTGAGGATTCTTTGCTACAGAATCTTTCTGGAGATGGATAGTAGTCATTAAAAGAAAAAAAAATCACATCCTGATATTTGGCATACTTTTATTCTAGTCTGAGGGCAGTTTTGTTTGGATTTATGAAATTTCACTGAAAATGGGTTGGCTAGGCATAATAAAATGGTTTTATTCTGTGGTTTCAGATGCCTGTTTGGTCATGCAGAAATGAAACAATAGCTAAATTTCAAATGATGGGAAATTAGCTGGCACTAGGTCCTTCCTGTCTGTTGGCACCAACAAACAGTTACGTTGAAATGGTTTATTACACACTTTCCAGAGCATGTTTTTTCTCAATTATGTTTATTATAACCCTAATGCAGTTATCTTCATGGGATTAAGGTGACACGTAGACCTGGTGTCTACCATCTTGGTCTGTTCTAATACTTGATAAATTCAGCCTAGATTAGAATGCATTAAGAATGCCTCCTAGACCAGGTTGAAAATGTCTGGCCATTTGGCAATTTAACTCTAAAGCATTCTTCTTTGGGGACCAAGAGAGTATCTTGGCTTAATTAAAAATGGATACACTTTTGAACATCTCAAATGAATGCCATTAGCATTATTTATACTCTGTTTTCTCTCAATTCTGTTTTGCTATAGGTTTGTAATTTGTTATAAAAGCATAAGAAAGCAGATGGTAGATTTCCTGAGAGCATAGTGTTGCTCTACTTTTTGAAGGGCTGTCATTCTCAGAAATGGAAGACTTACACTAAACCATACCTTTCCAAACAAATAATTTTCAAGTATATAAATAGCATAATTAATCACAATGGAAATATAAAATGTTTAATCAGGAGCAGATGGACTGAAACAAAGAAATCTTATGTATAACGCTATTTGAAATGTTCAGTGTTGCATACTTTTTATATGTTTGTAAAAATTGATTTTAGGGACCATGATTATATTTGACCTTAATTGTTAATATTTTCTTCTGTATTTCTCTGGCAAGAAGATTAAGCAGCCCATCTAGCTGCTGTTTTAGGAAGGCAACTGAGTCACTACCTGGCATAAGAGAAAAGTTTACTAAAATATACATTTACAAGAGAACAGTTTAAATTCTCCAGATTCCCCTGTTTATACTAACCAATGGTAGTATATGTCTTTGAAAGGAAGCAACCTAGGAGAAACACTATGTGAAAAAATTTATCTGGTGTTAAAAAATAAAGTCACAGATCTCTGATGTTGATTATCGTTTTAAATCTTTTAAGTGAGTATGCTTTAGAAGAGAAAAATTTGACAGTAAAGGAGCAGGGAACTCCTTTTGGAAATAGGGTCTGGTTTGACTGAATTCTGCAGCAATAAAAGCTAAAACTAATTTCCAGATGTAATAAATTG